TTTTTGCTGGCATCTGTACCAAACAAACACGTTCCCTTGTGTCTGGAGAATATGATTAGGCAGTTATTTTGTGTTTGCATTTTACCTCTTACCTTAAAAAAGTGCAGTGCCTGCGATTTGGATGTTGCACTTGGCGATGCTACGACTGAATGATTGTTCTAAGGATGCTGTGAGGAGCTGCACGGAAATGTAGAAGTGAAGGGGAAACACGCAGCAAGCACTTTGTCATAGCAACACAATGATGTTTGTTTTCTCAAACCCAGAAATGAAAGCTGACAGCCTGCGCTTAAACTTCATTATCATCGTATTAGGGCAACACTGGAGCTCATTTTTTTTATTTAAACACTTCAAATAACTGATCAGTCCTCCAACATGTTGTTATTAGTTTTTCCACATTCAAAGCTAATTAATAAGCCGGGCCTCCATTAAATTTGTCATATACTTAAGGGACTGTGTTTTTCTTCGATGATAATTCCTAATAAATGAAGTCAGACCCTGGAGAGGGCTGGCAGTAATGTGTTTCCATGAAGTTGTATTTTTCCAAACTGCGCTGAACTTATTTATTTGACAATGATTCAGTTTAACAGCTTTAAAGTAATGGGGACGGCAAAAAGAGTGCAAGTGTGTATTTGTTAGAGAAAGAGAGGGGAAAGGAGCACACACACACACACACACACACACACACACACACACTTTACTGTGGCCAGTGTGGGATTTCTATTGACTGATTGCAGCTCTCATTACCACTTGTTTGTGTTCAGCTCTGTTGACACCTGTTAGTTGTGACAGAGGTGAGTTTTAGTTTCTGCCGGTTAGGGTTGAATAGCCAGAGGCTTCTGTGTGTGTGTGAGTGTGAGTGTGTGTGTGTGTTTACATACTCCTTGCAGTTTTGATTGCATAACGCACACACACACACACACATACGAGACGGTATGAAAAGTTTTCTTCCTCTTTTCCTTGTGCTGTTGACTCAGAGGTAAGTCTAAGCCTTCAGGAGGCCTCTGTTTACATTTAATTTTGGGTTCTACTGAAAGGAAGAGCCTTTTATTTAGGCACTGACTTCCCCAGCTGACCATGCAAGCTGTGGAAATGAAAATTTAGTAATGACAGGAGAATGCTAAAACTCATGCGAGTCATACTACTAGAATGAAATGTGGCTTTTTAGGAACTTCAATGTATTATTGTAGCATTTCAGTCTTCTTTTTTTTTTATTCCAATCAGTTGCAACATTAAAACCTGATTTTGTGTAGGTCAAAAAAAGCTCTGGGATCTCTGGAGGCGTCCTGTGATGTGTGCAGTGTGTCCTGCAAGGGTTGCAAGGGGCCGAGTTTCTACTGGTGTGTTCCACAGATTTGAACTGGGATCAAGGGAGTTTAAGGGTTGGGCTCTTTGTCATGTTCCTTGAGCTGCTCCCCAACAGTCTTTACAGTTTAACTCAGAGAGCGTTGATGCTGTTGGGGGATGAGCTCGGTCTGTCTGAAACAATGTTTATGTGGGTGTCAAAGTAACATCATCCACACACAACTCAAGGTTTCCCAGTAGAACGTTGTATTGTGATGAGATGATCAGTTTTAATCGCTTCACCTGGCAGCGGTTTAAATGTTGTGGCTGGTTGGTGGAGCTATCAGGCCAAACTGAGCAGCTTTCCCTCACTGGGTGTGGTACAGACACTGTAGAAGCATAAGCTCTGACAGTGACTTGCAGAGCTTTGTAAACACGCTGTGATTTTAGTAAACCCAGATGGTTCAAATAAACCCTGATTCATTTGATGAAAAACAGACATGTGATATAACCTTTACTTGGAAGAAACCATTATGTTTTACGTATTTCTTTCTTTCTCATAGTTTCTCCCTCTCTAAATTAAGCGACTTTTCACCAACAGTGGGGTTAACGTTTGTTATGAGGTTCAACGGATTGACGACAGTGATATAAATTAAGTCAATTATTAGACATTTGCTTTCAAGATGTATATGAAGAAAGTAGTTTTTGTTTCATTTATAGGAAGTGTGTCAGAAAAGTTTCGGAACTGATGTCGCAAAAGATATATTTCAAATCCAAACTACAAACTACAAGTTTTCCCCTTCCAAGTAATCCTCCTGTAGTCTAACACACTTTCCCAGCCTTCTCTGTCACGCCGCCATGCACTCCTGGAAGGATCCTCCTGAGCTCTGTCGTCACAGCCATCTTGATGTCGTCCATGTCTTCAAAACGGGTCCCCTTGATGACCCCCTTGAGCTCGGGGAAGAGGAAAACATCCCACAGAGCCAGGTGGGGTGAGTAGGGAGGTGAAGCAGCCATGACTTGTCCTGCCACAACTCTGCCTCTTCTCTGAACGAAGCGAACGCTGCAGGATCTCTTTGTGCTGGTTGATCGTCTGAAGGGGAAAACTTCTATTTTGTAGTTTGGGTTTGAATATATATCTTTTGTGACGCCAGTCCTGGAACTTTTCTGACACACCTCATACTTCATAATAACAAAACTGTGAAAATTAATTGTAAGTATTCTAAACCTGCTGCTGTTGGCTGTGAGTGCCTGCTACCCCCTGCTTCTTGGTAGCCACAGCCCAGCTCACCGCTGACCACTGAGCTCACACTAAACTATGTGTCATGAACAAGAAAAAGAAAGAAAAAATTCTTTGTTTGAAATTCAGTTGATACATCAGCATCTGTCTGGGATAAGGCACATATACATATATATATATAAACACTTCTTTGCATCTGTTTCTCACAGCCTGACTGTTTGGTGGAAGGAATCTTGCCCCAACACGCCACTGAGGTCTCCACCTGTGGCTCGGTGTGATGACGTCCTGAGAAACAGCTCCCCCGTGTCCCTCCTTGGCCTGGCTGTGTTGCACATGGTGGTCGTTACACCCGCCACAGAGGTGCGCTGACACCCTCGTCGCTCTCCTCTGCCTCCCCAATAAAGCCTGCACCTGCACCAGCAACCATAACAATGACCTCTCACAGCCGACAAGGTAAAATGTAGGAAAACAGTTACATTTTACAACAGGAGTATGTTATTGTAGTTGCTTTGATGCGGAAAGGCCTTCTGCTGTCGGAAAAAGATGTAACATTTGACAGGAGGGACTGTGATGATGATGATGACGAAATTGGGTAGAAGGTCTTTGTGTTGATTCTTTGGTCATGAAGGTTTTTATTAGTTCATATTTGTACCCTGTGACGAGGAACCCTTACACACAGGTTTTGTAACCACACAGTCTCGAATCAGATGGTGAAAGTGACATCAGGCAGCGCTAACAACAAACCGCTAAAAGACGGCAGTGATGTGTCCGTACTGATATAGAAGCAGGTTGATGTTGGGCAACGCAATGTGCTGTTTTTGGAGCTAAATTTAGCTGAACTAAAAAAATGTTCTAGCACCTGAAAGAGGAGTTTACTGTCCTCTGTGACATCGATTCAAGGGACCATGTTCTTTTGCTTGTGTTGCCACAATATTTGTTATGCATCACTCTTCTCTGCTAATGTTGTCTTTTAAACCGTCTTTATTTCATCTGTTTTGTATGAAAGCATGGGATATGTAAACACTTATAGTGGCTTTCAAGGCAGAAATTTGTTGTGTGTTTTATTTTATTTAGGCCGTGACTATCCTCTCTGTCATTCTTTCATTGTGTTTTCCGTGAATGCGTTACTTAAAGTATTCTGTCACATCGTATGGCTTCTTCCTTGTCAGATAAAGATGTTTGGTCTATGCAGTGTTGATGGATTTATTTGAATGCTGATGCTGACTTTCGTTGGAAATATCATTTTGAAACTAAATTTCAATGTCTACATGCTTTGACACAAGCTGTTTTTAATTTTTACTGGATATGAATTATATTTCACAGTAGGTTTCTCTTTGTATACTTAAAACTGGTGTGCTTGATCTCAGCCAGTGAGAGCTGCTCATATTCAGAAACCTTCTTTTCCCCCCCTCTAATCCTGACCATGGTACAGATCTGGATTTTCCTCAACCGCAGATCAAAATAGACAAAAGGCCAATTGTGTCCTCCCTCCCCATCATGCTTTGGTTGTCTTGGTCATGCTGAGCAGATTGATGTCACAGCCATCGGTTAATTGTTGTGGTCCTAATGGTCCTGTGTGACCCAGTGCTGGCTGCTGGCATCACTGTCCTTTCTCTTGAACTGCAGAGACATGGTGCAGTCCCGGCCAAAAGGGTTTGCGTCAGAGTGGATGTTTCAGGTCGTCACATAGCGGTGAATTTTGGCACAGGCCAAAGATATCTGTGATTTCCTTCCCCGTCTTCTTTTTTTCTTTGTTTTTCTCTTTAATACATCATATTATGTAAGTGGAACCTTAGCCATATTTTCCTCTTTCATTTCCCTCCTGTTTTCTGTGCTTTCTGTGTTTAGTTCTCACAAGATGTAAAATACTTTTTCTGATATAACCTTAATGTGCAGGATTACAATTTCACTGTTGTCAATTTTGTTTTGTCTTTTAGTTTTCTGGTTATTTCATAGATGTCTGACTCTTTTGTGCTTTCGTGAACCAAAATCCAGGCAGTGGAAAAGTGGCCCCGACCTGAGTCCACAGCTGTCCGTGTCAGAACCACATGTTTTTCATCTTATTTAACTTTTTCAATAAGGGGAGCCAGCCTTTTTTTATTTACCTCACTAGTAGTATAGTTGTTGATAGACAAACATGATATTTTGGAAAACAGACTTCTTACATAATGTCAACTGTTACCAAGTAACGCCAAAAAAAAGAAATATGCGAGGGATAGTTCTGTTGAAATTTTTTGTATTAAGCGAAAACATTTCAACTGCCAGACTTGTCTCCACTTTTTTTTTGCTCAGAAATTAAGAATGAAGCTGTCACTGCTCAGCTTCACCTCCCGGGCTGTTAGCAGTTCATTTTCTCCTTGTCGCCCTCCAGTCTGTGCGGCATCGCTAAGCCCTTTTCCACATATGACAGATCATCGTTTCCTATTCTTAAACCACCATTTTAGAGCACTAAAGGGCCTTTTGTCTGACTTAAACTTGGGTGGCAAAGGCTGGCATGTTGACATGCTACTTGGCATTTTGGAGCCGGGTTTATGGCCTTGGAGGCAGAGTTAGAACACACACACAGAAAAACTCTCTCATCCCGGCGAGACCCTCCCCTTCTGTCCCCTCGCCTCCCTCGCCTCCCTCCTCTGCTCTCCTCTCTCCAGCAGCAGTAATCTGTGGCAGGTCCTGGCTGAGGACGGTGGTGGTGGGGGGGGTTCTTGCGTCAATAAATCGTCATGCACAGCGACTCCCCGGCCTGGAACACAAACAGAGAGGGGCCGTCTGCTGCTGGAGGCCTTGTGTAAAGCTTGTTAAAAATGCTCTGAGGCCTGTACAGTCTAACCATAAAACAAGCTAACGCTGGGTTCTGTAGGTGTTGGTATTGTTTAACTAGTCGTGTTTTTGCTTCTTGGACTGACCCCCGGACTACTTCTTCTTGTCTTGTCCGTGATGGTACAGGTTGGATGGTAGTTTATGTTGGCAGCCTATAGAGGAGTGTGTCAGTTTTTCATGAATGCTTCTGTGTGGCTGCAAATTGAGACCAAGTGCCCCCATTTCCCTGCTGGATTTCTTTGTAGATAGTTGAATTTGGACTTTATGCTGCCTGTGTTCCACCCTGTGAATAAATTTTGCTTACCTATTTTCATGTGTGTTTTCATTAGTGATGCACGATATTAAAATTTCTGGGAAATACCGATATCCGATATTCAGATTTCTGATATCGCCGATAACCAATATTACTGATGTCGATATTCAGTTTTTGTTCTCACTGAAAAATGAGTATAAGTAAGCACTGTGAAAACAATTCAAAAGACGCCCATACGAAATTAGACCATATAGTCTTCTTTATTACATAACAAACATGTTTAAACATATTTAATGTTCAAGTCGAGGACCATTTAAGAAGAAACATCTGTGAAAGAGCAGCGATATCAAACGTAAAGACAAAGGCGCTAATGATAGACAATCATGGGTTTTTCACATCGGCTAAATTTGTTCATCAGACCAATACCAATATATCGGAAAAAGCCATAGACTGTATAAAAGATGGACGTAGCTACCGTGACGTCACCCGTTGGTTTCTGCACTGAGAAAATGAAGCCAGGGTTTTGCTACTTCCTGGTTGACATCTTGGATTTTTGGAGCCAGTGACGCAAAAATCGTCGGAGGGGGGCGGAGCCATAGGAGCAGCGATTGGTCAGACGGATTGAGAGGCGGGCCCTCTCTGCCCCACCCACATTTACCACCTTCTGCTCGCTTCATCTGTATGGTCGCTGCCGACTGTCAATCAAGCCAGCCACGCCCCTTGCCCCGCAAAATGTTGACGATTTTTAAAAAATTCAGTATTGATTTATTTTCAGATTGGCCACCTGATCTCTGGATTTGACTATGAAAACAATAAGAAAAAAATCCTGAGCTGGGGGAATGCGGTATTTGGTGATCTGTGATCACTTCTTTTCCAATTCAAGTCTATGGGAGCCAGGACTTTTTGGAGCCAGGACTAGTGGACGTAGTGATATTGCAGGTTTTTGACACATCCGGGTTGGCTTCATTTTTCAGGGCCGGTTGCTACGTCCATCTTTTATACAGTCTATGGAAAAAACACGAATATCGGCCGATACCGATGGGGCTGATATAGTGTGCATCCCTAGTTTTCATGCATCTCTTCTTCCTAAGATCAATTCCCAACATTTTGTCACCGTGCATGCAACAACCTAAACTGCAGACGGATTCTGTGTGGCAAAAGGAAACAAACCGCCTTTCCTTGTACTTTTTTATGCTAGCTGGTTGGTATGTGGGGGATCGTTTGTGTAGTATTGAGGTACAGGGAGGGGGCTGCTTGGTTGGGTTTTTAGGATAAATACACTCCTAGTGTAAGCAATGTGAATATGTGTCTATGTTTTCTAGGGCATCAAATGGAGATCTGTCACTGAGTCATGTTTCTTAAATTTTAAGTTAACAATAAAATAATAATCACTAGATTAAAAAAAAAAAGGACAAAAAAAACACCCCCCGCACACCTCCTCTATTATTTTAGCCTTATTCAGACCGCTGATCCATGGCAGATGGTTGTGAATAATTCATGTCAAGTTTTTGGGACGACCGCATCCATGTGTAGATTTTTATCCCTCTTCAGTAACAGAGCGGAGGAGAGACATTACTGAGAGGAATGACAGCACAATAAGTGCCGTACAAACGATGCTAGAGTGTAAACTGATGCTAGATAAGACTGTTGTTTTTCTGCATTGTGATCGAGCAAGCCGTGTGGGTTTGAAGTTCTTTCTTTTACAGCTGTGATAGTCAGAGATTTGATTTTTTTTTTTTTCTTGCCAATTTTATGCAAGTTCTAGCACTTTGTTTTTAGTGCTTTCGGTATATTAATGTCACAGCTAAAAATACAGGGGTGCGATTTTTAAAGCTTTTCTGACGGCACTATTTCCTGTCAAAAAATATGGAATAAATGTGTTGGACTTTGATATTTTGGGTCAAGTGTTTCCTTTATCAAAATTTAAGCTTAAGTATCAGATTTAGAGGTAATCAAAGTCAGCCGCTGTACAGTTTAGGCTCCTTGCTTCTGAAATAGGAGTAGTTTTAATTTTATTCGCTTGCCCTTCCTTCTCTTCTGTCACTCTAATTTCTGTATCTGTCTGGTTTTTTTTTCTCCCCCCCCCTCTCTCTCTCTCTCTGGTCCCAGTTTTAATCAGTAACTGTAATAAAGACTCGCAGTGGGAGCTATCAAAAGCCTGCAGTGGTGGATTAGAAGAGAGTGGCTAGTGTCTGGGCCAGGCCACTGGAAAGTGACGCATAATCTTCAAAAAGGGAGCTTAACACCTGCTGGCCCACACTGATGATTCCTCATTTACAGAGGCCACTGTCACACAAGGAAAAAGGCTCGGGGTGTTAATTGATGGTTTTAGTCTGAGCGTTTTGAAAGTTGTCTAAAGATGACTGAAGTCGACCAAGGCGAG